CTAAAGGTCATTTGATGTCAGAGGGCAGGACGGACCATGCCGAGCATTGCGGCACGTTAAGCTTCCACCACTAAATTCTGCCGTTGCCTGTAATTGCGCGATCGCATGGTGGGGGTCAGGGCTCACACAACAAGCACTGCTTAGAGTGAGTGCTGATCCCAGAAATTCATCCATTCAAAGGGTTCAGATCAAATTTCAAAAAAAAAACAATAAAAAAACAGTGAAATATTGTCTGCAAACTGCTATTCTGGAATGGGAACCCACCAATATGTAATCAATCCTAGCTCATTTCATTTGAGTGCTAATTTCATCAAAATAAGCAAGTCACCAAATGCATGAGCCTTGTCCTCCACAGACAACTTTTTGACCTTTGAGTTTAACTGTTAAAAAAGGGCATTTGACTGCTGCCTGGAGAGACAGCTTTGCACAATTATATTGACCATCTCACCATAAGGACCCTCAGAGAAATATTGTGCATGAGCCTACAAGTACAACTATCATTTGAAAACATGTGTATGAAGAACATGTCAACATACAGAGTGAAGGGTATTGCTTACATTCTTTTGCTTACTGAGTGAAGTCAGAAAAGCCACTGGAAGTAAACAAACTGTGATTTTCTATGCCATCTGGAAATATCCAAGTGTGTACAAAAATAATTAGAATAAGGAACATTGGAGGATGCTGCTTAATGAGCTCTGCCCCCTAATCACACCACAATCAACTCCTGAGCTGAACACCCTAATCATTGCACCACCACCAACCCCTGAGCTGTGCACCCTAACCACACCACCACCAACTCCTGAGCCATGTACCCTAACCACATCACCACCAACTCCTGAGCTGTGCACCCTAACCACACCACTACCAACTCCTGAGCTGTGCACCCTAACCACACCACTACCAACTCCTGAGCTGTGTACCCTAACCACGCCACCAGCAACTCCTGAGCTGTGCACCCTAACCACACCACCACCAACTCCCGAGCTGCGCATCCTAACCACACCACCACCAACTCCTGAGCTCACCACCCTAACCACACCACCACCAACTCCTGAGCTGTGCACCCTAACCACACCTCTACCAACTCCTGAGCTGTGTATCCCAACCACACCACCACCAACTCCTGAGCTCAGCACCCTAACCACACCACCACCAACTCCTGAGCTCAGCACCCTAACCACACCACCACCAACTCCTGAGCTCAGCACCCTAACCACACCACCACCAACTCCTGAGCTCAGCACCCTAACCACACCACCACCAACTCCTGAGCTCAGCACCCTAACCACACCACCACCAACTCCTGAGCTCAGCACCCTAACCACACCACCACCAACCCCTCAGCTCTGCACCTTGACCACCAAACCACTACCAACCCCTGAGGTCAGCATACCAATCACTATACCACCACCAGTCACTGAGCTCAGCACCCAAAGCATATCACCACCACCAGCCCTGGGGCTGGGCTGGCTATCCCAAAATACAATGCTGATACTTCAAAAGAAGATGTGTTGTCATGACAGCATATTATTACATCACACCAGTCTTGTAAAGCTGTGAAATTTGAGACAATCATGGCTTTTTGTGAGTTGCAAAATGGGAATAGGATACAGGCCCCAGATCTTCTTAGGAGGTCCCAAATCTGCTTGCCCCATATTCTATATGCACATGCCACTTAATTTGAAGGCTTTGCAGCAAACACAACTTGGGGGTGTGCTTTAATTTTCAGATAATTTAAGTGAAAAAGTTTTCAGAGGATATTTGCTTGAAATTACTTTGAAACATCTTAATGGCTTGAAGCACTGCCTCTCTTTGCACCAAATTGGTGACTGCTGTGCACCAAACACACTCAAAGTTATGGCATACATGCCTTGAAGTTATAGCAATGTTACCTGGACCTGCTGCACTAAACATGTCTAGGGCAACATACAGGTTTTACAGCTTAGTAGATAGGTACCTGCCTGGGGATGGAATAAAAGTGTGGAATTGCCCCACCAACTGGGAGCACCTATCAGAGCAAGTGTGTAACACACATGACCAGATTGGTGGACTGCTGCATTACAATTAATGAAATGACATGTGGAATATCAACACATCCTGGAGATGCAAGGATTTTTCTAGGCGCGAGAGCACGTTGAAATGAGGCTTGTCATTTCCCTTGGTGAAAAGCATTTTTTGCTGTTTCTCCGCACGAGAAACGGTAGCCTACGCTCTACATTACCTGAACACTGTCTCCGGCAGCTCGTATACATAGTATACTCACCAGGGAATATAGTCGAAGGGGACTTCGTAACCGGACCGGAGCTCACCACGTCCACCACCCGACAGCAGCAGCGAATCAGAGACCGATCCCAGTTCCTGCCCCCAACTTCAAGAGCACAGCAAGGTCAAACGCGTAGAGATGGGCAGTCAAACTAGTACCACGGAGTGACTGGTACTGTGTTAGCGCGGGAAAGTAACACCGATGAATGCGCCCGATTGAAACGCTACAGTAATTTAGAGTGTGGTGTTTTACCAGCGTTTTGTCTTATTTTGTGTACGAACCACCAGGGTCCAAGCTAAAATAGGAAAATTAAGAGCGCTGAACCCCTGTTTCAACTGAATTCCTCTCATGCCCCGCCGAGTAGCTACCGAAGAGGGACGCGTCCGACGGGGGCTGTCTGGTCCATGCGCCCCACCCGCTACTTAAAGGTTATTCAGGCGCGGGCCTTGAGGTTGCGAGAGACTTCCAGTACGTTACAAGTGTGACTGCGCAGTAAAGCCGCGTGCACGAAACATGCTAACATCTTAAAAAAACACCCTTGTTTTGCTGTTCACCCAGCACAGCTGGCCGGAGTGATGTGGGGAGCGTGTTGCAGTGATGAGCGTTTTGAAGTGAAAGGTACGTATAGGTGAAACGCGTGTTGTGAAAAGCGTACTGCTGAATCCAAAATTGCATAGCGACAAGAAAGGTCTCTGGTGGCCTGAAGACTGGTTGAAATAGCGCACCAGTCGGATTTGACATTGAGGCGCGCCCGGGTGGCCGGTCGAATAGCATTCGCCCGGGCGAGGGTCAATATGACCCCCCTCTGAGATATTAGAGACTAAGTGAACTTAAGTCAACAAATTCACACGGTGTGTTGGCTTGTACATGGACTCACTCGTGTCAGAATCGAGGTTCTTAAGTCATGACCTTTCGGTCAAATGAGGCCAAACAACGGTAAACTCCAGATTGGTGTCGGAAGTTCTCCATACCGTCTTGTGCAACCACCACGAACCTAGATGCCTGTTCTAAGCAAAAGGTCACTGGTTCTTATTTAGGGTCGGTTACTTTATTTCACCTTTCCGAGATCATTGGAACCAAAATCATACAAGACTGCTCTGGTTTTTGCATCTGAAGAAGCATCAAGGATGACACTAGGCAGCGTGTTCCTAAGAACACAATTTTGACCCGCGTCATTTTGATTTGGAATCTATTCTGACGTAAGATGTCTATGAAAGATGTATGATGCGGTTCCTGTTATCAATAACTTCGAAATGATCATCTGAAGCCATCCATTACAGCAAGCTCCAGACTAAAAACACAGGTCGATTTTGACCTCCATACCTGACCCTAGAGCAATGGAATCAGATTCAATCGTGTTGTTTAAGAAACTACCTCACGGACGTATGACTTCGGCGAACACTCCGTTATGGCATGAGATTGAACGATTCCCGGAAACGTCTGCGCCATCTCCATTCCCCAACTTTAGCCTGCCGTGGGTCAGCGACCTTAAAGGTACATATAAATGTTGACGCCCCACCGATCCGCTAATCAGTTGTACACAGCTATGCAAAAGTTGGCGCGGCTACGCCGTGCCGTTAGGAAATCATTGCAGAAATACCTTGGGGGGGGGGGGGGACAAACTAACTTCCATACGAGCACGTTAACAATTAAATGCCAATCCCTGGCATCGGCGTGGCGCGCGAAACGCCTGATCTTACGCGAAGCGCATGGTCCGTAGGCATCCGAAACGACTATCCGTCTTAGTCAATGGCCTTATGAGCTGTCTTGATAAAACAGCTCCTCTGTATCACACACCAGCTTGTTAGTGGTCGCCAAGGTCATGCACATTGATTTCGTGCTGAGAGTATGAGATGAGAGTATGAGCGTAAGTTTGGGAATTGTGTGTGGGACGACAATACATTTGCAAAATAATTGCAGTGCAAGTAAAGCGCGACAAACCAGCAGCTACGTTCCAGAGCACCAGTGTATTCCAACGCTGTCGAAGGTCTGAGACGCGACCAGACGGCCTCGCTGCGTGCCTGTCGTCTGCTCAAGTAACATGCCTCGTCTTTTATTGTGTTGTAAAAACTGCGCCACGCTAGCCCCACATGGTCCGGCCTAGCTGGCAGTCGTCGAACGCTTCCATTTGATGCCGGTGCGGTGCGCACCTCGCGTGCGAGCACCAGCCGCGTGCCGGTGCGGCCAGCCTCCGTGCCGCCCAGTACCACGCCGCACCAAAGGCGTCCACTCCAAAGCTGTGATACATTCAATAATGACACCAGAGCCACCGTACATCCCAACACTACACGACCATAAATACATGCAGCCTGGCGCGGCGGCGAGCAGCCGGCCGCCGGCTCACTGAGTCGGCGCCGGGGGAGCGCGCGGCGGCCACTCCCCCGGCATCACAGCAGCACGCCTGACACGCGCAACCCCCCACGGCGCGCCGCTCAACACAATGCCCACCCTATCCACGAGGTTTTGATTGGAGGAGAGCCTCAGACGTAAAGAAAAGTGGAACAGGTCGACGAGCAAGCTATTACGTACAGTGAGAAATAATACCTGCAAAACCAAAACACAGCCACAAAGTTACGTACGTAGACCGGCCGACGTCCGCCAGCCAACTCCACTGGCGAAGGCGTAAAACCGACAGTGTAGAAAGAAAGGAACCAAGATCATCAGCGTACATGACCAATTCAGTACAAAGGCAAGCTGTGCACCAGTACCATGCTTCACAATAACAGAGCCTGCGACATTTTCCATAATGCAGCGCATGTGCCACTGTCTTTACAAGGAGCTCGTAATAAGTACGTTTAGTGAGGGCTACTGAGGATGCCAGAAGATTCCGAGCCAGGGCGACCGCTGCAACGGGCAATGACTTAACACCTAGAGCATGTGCCTACATGCGCGAATATGGGCTGATGAGGGGTACATCAAGTGATATGGATGAGAAAAGCGTCGCTCCTAGCTGGCTGAGATCGTGGCGTTGTCCGCGTCCTGAATCACCGTCTCGCCCAGATGGTTCAGCAGCTGGTTCAGTGTGTTCATCTCTTGGCCGTTCAGCACGTTGCTGATGGCGTGCTCCAGGCTGATACCCTGCGCCAGCTGGTTGTAAACACTCTCCTCCATCTCCGCAGACCCCAGGTTGGGGTTGCCGTTCAGGACGTGGTGGCGTGCAGCAGTGGCGACTGGCTCGCTACCGCCTGCTGCCGTCGCTACCGGGAACTCGACCTTGGGCGTGGCGCCGCTAGAGCCCTGGGCGTCCGACTCGCGTTCGACGGCCTCCAGCGCTCGCTCCAGTTCCTCGGTCTCCTTGTGCACCAGGTCACTGGCGTGTGCGTCTGGAAACACACCACTAGTTGTTAAATATGCGCCACGTGGATCCGCCTGGTGGCTGCCCCCTCCCGCCTCCAGCGCGTGTATACGCGCATGGACACATGCAACAGCAGCGGGCCAATGGTAACGAGATCATTCCATTCTCTAATTCTCTTAAAGGGGGTGTTCCACATTTGTGTGGGATGCGGAACTGAAATAGCCATCTTGAAAATCTGTTGGTGCCGTTCACAACCCTGGTCCTCGTAAGACCTATACTCCTCTAGCTTCTGAGCTAGACGCACACAAAAATAGGAAAAACATTTGTGAGGATTTCGAGTATTACAGAGCCACCCTGCCATTCATGACGTCATGGCAACGGCATACAAATCCTGCCATGTCATAAGCCGCGCGGCGATCAAGGCCAATAAAACATGAGGGCCTGGTCGTCCATATCTGGCGTTCGTGAGCACGATTTCCAGATATAACAGCCGTCAATTGGTTCTTAGTTAATATTCTGCAAGATACGATGACGTCATCGAACAATGATGCACCGAGGAGCATATTTACTAAACGGAGCAATTGCGTTGTCCAGAGCAGTCTCTTCTACTTCAAAGCAAGCCGGTCGCTATAAAACGGCTTATTTCATCACATCTGATGCTCACTTCAATGTCTTCAAATGCAAAGCACTGCCTTTAAATAACATGGCTAGCCAGCTACAACATCCATGTCCAACCACGCGCCGGTAAACACAGGCCAGGCAAAACGGTGTCGAAGTAAGGGGGTGAATAAGAGTATCAAACGTAGTGACGTGGGCATGGCCATTTTTTAAACACTACCTTCGCAATTTGTCATAAAACATCTCGAGCTTAAGGTTGCGCTTGAGCAACCTCACGCACGTCATTTTTTCCTCCAAATTTTGCAAAACACCTGCCGCGGGGCCGCTTTAGAAAGACCACACACTGTGAATACTATCCTATGCATACTAAGGAGCGTCCTCGATCGCTGATCGCTGATCGTTAGTTCAGGCTGTGCACTTATATGACACATATTCGGTCAACGGTGGCAGGCCTGCGCCTGGCCCAATTCAGGTAAGGAGTCGAAAGCAGCGACGAATATCAGCGCAGCAAACTTGATTCAGATGTGATTTTTCCGCGAGCGAATTAGCATAACATGAATTTAAGTGAGGCAAGCTTGATAACGACATGATTTTTGCGCAGGCCAGAATCACATAATATTCTGTCCTTGCCACTTGACTCCGTTACATCAGGATTAACGAGGCTGAAACACGCATCCGGTCGTAAATGTTGATAAGGAATGTCAAAAAGCGCACAACATTTATTAAGTCCACCACATATTTATCAGAAAGTTGTAACTATCATCAGAGGATATTGAGCATCACCGACTGAAGACGGATAATGCTATATGTTTCCGTTACGCCTTCAGGCACTTTCTGACAACGGAAACGAAAAACAATTTCACAGAAATGACGGTCCAACCTAAATGCATGATTTAGGCTTGCACAACCTAAACACACTCAAACACACACAATCCCCTGATTTCATTCAATTTATTAATCTTTAAATTCATCATTCATGGCGAAATACCCGGTGCTTTAGGTGACAAACATAATGCTCGCCACCACAAGCAGCGATGAATGGGCTGCGCGGATGACCGATGTCCTGCGCGGCCTGTTTCTGTGCAACGTCAGCTGCTTTGTAGCCTCCCAGATGTAGCCGCTTAATATTTTGCCCGTTACCAGCTAATGACACTACAGCCGGGCCTTCTCACGGTTATTGCGTTGGTATCAATTTTTATTCATCGGGTTAACTCGATTCCAGATTCGAGGATACAAAATGATTGGCCTACTTCGCAGGGTTTTACGAACAGCCATCCAAATTTGCTTGCATCAGCGATCGATTCGGATCATTACGTAAAAAGGGAGCCTCGCCTCACAGTTCAGCTCCCAAGTCCGGATCGATTGATCTCGCGTTCTCCTCGCTTGTCACCATGTCTTTGTTCAACGCCCGCGCTAGTAAGCTGCACGCTTTAACAAGTAGTGCATGCATTGTGTTTTAGGGGCAGCTGGTGTCAATACCACCTTGCGACTAATATCGATGAAAAATACACACATACATGACATCTAGGATCAAATGAATACGAACGCCAATGGCCACCAGACTCCAGAGCGGGTTGACGCCAGTGGTATGAGCCATTTTAGCAGTACATTTTTTCCGAATGTATATCCTGCATTGTAGCTGCTACCATGATGACGTTTCCCTTGCTGGCAAAACCAGTCCGACACATTTGCCAAAGGAGATCCATTTGCTAAAGGTCATCACCTTGGTACATAACCATGGAGTGAGCTACAAAAGGAACTTAAGGACCAATGTAAAATAAGTTCCCTACCTCCCCCCCCGCGGATGTGGGGTCAGTGCCCCCCCCCCCCCCCCCACACCAGGTTTTCTAAGGATCATCTCCAGTGCGCCGGGCGGTCGCGCACTGCGTTTTCAGAGCCCTAGGAAGCATCCTTGCATGTGTTTTGACACCAAAAGGTGTCTCTAGTATTGTTGCTACATCAACGGAGCCCTACACCATGTGGGCCGACACTGCTACATTAACGGAGCCCAACACCATGCGGGCTGGCATCGCTACATTAACGGAACCCTACACCATGCGGGCCGACACTGCTACATTACGGAGCCCTACACCATGCGGGCCAGCAATGCCACATTACGGAGCCCTACACCATGCGGGCCAGCACTGCTACATTACGGAGCCCTACACCCCGAGAATGGGCTCGAAACACAACAATGCGCAACATTGTACTCGGAATTAAACAAAGAGCACGCTTGTTTCGGTTTCATGTCGCTGGATAGCGTGGTGCACATATCAGCATGTAAACCCGGTATAGTAAGGTGGTAATATAAAAGCAGATAATGGTGAGCTATCCCAGAAAATTTGATATTTGACCTGGCTAAATAGGATCAACTATTGGCCTAGCAACATACAAGTAATTACCAACCGCGAGGTCTTATTGAAACCAATCCACTGTATGTTCTCGAGGAGCTATCGTTCGGAGTTTGGGAACAGCAGAGGGGTCACATCGACCTTTTCCCCCACCTTTGAGCCTGCCTTATGAAAAATGGCAGACCAGGACGAAAATCAAGCCCAAACGTCTCTCAGATATTCAGGTGCAGTTAACTGAATGCCAGGACTGTTGAACCAGAAACGTGGATACCCAGAATCGGTGTCTGCCTGTCAGTCTCGCTGCCAGGCTCCGACATGAGAGTCGCGCGACCAGCGCCCTGCCACCCGGCAGCCAGCCCGTGCGACGGCCGTCCCCAGCCACCTGACAGCCAGCCCGGGCGACGGCCGTCCCCAGCCGTCCCCTGCCACCCGGCAGCCAGCCCGGGCGACGGCCGTCCCCAGCCGTCCCCTGCCACCTGACAGCCAGCTCCGGCGACGGCAGTCCCCAGCCGTCCCCCGCCACCTGACAGCCAGCTCCGGCGACGGCAGTCCCCAGCCGTCCCCCGCCACCTGACAGCCAGCTCCGGCGACGGCCGTCCCCAGCCGTCCCCTGCCACCCGGCAGCCAGCCCGGGCGACGGCCGTCCCCAGCCGTCCCCTGCCACCTGACAGCCAGCTCCGGCGACGGCAGTCCCCAGCCGTCCCCTGCCACCTGACAGCCAGCTCCGGCGACGGCCGTCCCCAGCCGTCCCCTGCCGCCCGGCAGCCAGCCCGGCGACGGCCGTCCCCAGCCGTCCCCTGCCACCTGACAGCCAGTCCCGGCAACGGCCGTCCCCAGCCGCGCGGCAGCACTCACCGGAGAACAGCTCGGTGAACGCCTCGTCGGGCAGCTTGCTCAGCACCTCAGAGAACTCGTTCTCTAAGACAGTGCCCAGGTGCAGCTCCAGACTGCGATCCAGCTCGGGCTCGGCGCGCGCTTCGCCGCTGCCGCTGCCACCCGCCGCTGCGCCGCTCTCCTCCTCCTCGTCGTCGTCATCTTCCTCCTCGTCCTCCAAGTCATCCTCGTCCTCCTCAGCATCCTCCTCGTCATCGTCGATCATGTCCGCATCCAGCTCCCCGAAGCCTGGGCGGAGGAAATGGAGTGGTCAGCAAGCTGGCCGCAGATACCGTAAAACAAAAGTCAGGACAGTGTACTGCAAGAAAACGTATCATCGAATGTACTTCACTTTGAACCAAGGGAGTTTTCAATCACCACTCAACACAGGCAGCTGAATATGGTGTGCATGGCACAATCATGCGGCAGAGCGGCCGTGCCCGAACCGCTGACCATCTGTCGCCATAGTGAGCCTGCAGACGGCGGGCGGCAGTGCTGCCTGACTCACTGCCGTCGTCGCAGCTGGTCTGCCGGTTCAGTCCCGTCGGCGTCGACTCGCGGGGCGGCGTCTTCTTCTTGGCCTTCTTCCGCCGCTTGGGCCGCTTGATCGAGCGAGACTTCTTCTTTGGCTCGCGTCGCGTCTTCTCAGCCATTCTCTCGTAGTTATCCTACGTGAACAAAGGCGGAGGGATGAAAACAGTCTTCCCACTGCTCGATTTTTCCAAACATGGAAACCATCTCATACTACAATCAGTTTTCTACCCAGGCGCCCACAATATCCCTAATACTCTTCTCCAATGCTAATAGAACATAAATATTACCGGTTCCCAACTTTTACAGCGACTCGCAGGAAGCTAATGCTCCAATGCACGCTACAGCCCTGGAGAAGGCCCCACCAAACGACGACTTGGCATAAACATTGAGACACAAAGGTGAACGAAGAGCAGAGATGATGTGATGTGATGTGATGTGATGATGAGAAGAGAAGAGAAGAGATGTCGTAAATTTGTATGTAAGCAGTTAGTCATGAACACATTTTTACTGCGCCCACTTTTTCGCCTTTCATACCGAACACTTTAATAAAAATGTCTACCAAGGCCCTTTCTGGTCTTCGCACCGCCTTTGCGCCAGCGGCACCCAGTTGGTCACGAGCCGGCGCGGCTCCCCTGAGGTTCGGCCACGCGTGGAGTGTGAAGCCGAACATCTGCTAACAAAGACGTGCTACTAGCCTCGGGCGAAGGCCTTTTACAGGTTGACGTGTGTCACGTGCAGTTAGAGGGACGACCTCGGCCAAACCCGCAGCCCATCCTCTAGCAGGACAAGTCCGTTACTGCAGCACAATGAGGGCCACATTTACCCGCTTCCTTGCGTGCTCTTCACATAGAGGTAGTTCGTGCTTGATGTCGATTACCGGTGCGCAGCATTGCGTGTTGTCCGAGAACTTCGCTGTACAATGCTGAAAGCACGACCATTGTGTTCAACGCACGGCCTAGGTGGAGCCGATCAGCCCGACGGACGGTCAGTGGTAACGACACAGCTGGCATAACAGCGCTGAGATCCCGCGAGCCGAGGCGGGCGGCTCAGACGTCGCCACTATGGACGGTAGCCGATCAGCTCCCAGAGAGCCTCTTTGCCATAGCACGTGGACTGGCACGTGGTAACTGGAGCATGCAGCTTCACCAGCTATAGACCGGCCTGTGGACCATCGTCAGGCGTTACTCAGCACCGCGCGGCGCGCGGCGCCACACATTGCGTGTGGACCTCCACTTGACGGGCTCCCGCATTCTCGGATACATGTACTCAGCACACAGTGGCTGCCAGGCTGAAGATCCACACGGCTTCATCCGGCCAGTCGGGCTGCACTCCATTCAATTTAGCGCAAAATCCCAGCTGGATGTCCTTTTTCAGTCGGATACACAACTATGGACTCTTATACTGGCGCGCTGGCCTATGTTGGTGTTTTACATCCCCGCACAAGCAGATCGATACATTAAGACTCCGCCATACCGGAATATTGGCCTCAGATCTGCGCACCTTCAGAGCCAGCGATATCTACAGCTAGCCTACACAAACCTCGTCGTAATGACATTTTCTTATGTTCCTTACTTAAGGCGTGGGGCCTCTCCACTGTTCTCACAACCTCCGCCGAGCCGATTCTTGCCTGGCTAAAGCGCGTCCTTGGCGCTTTAAGCACGTACGCGAGCTTGCCATGTGCGCGTATTTATACAACACCAGTGAGTTACTCAGCAGGCCTTTGGATGCAGTCAGCGGTCTTGCGGTCCGTGGGCTCGACGGGAGACGGGTCCGGGACGACGCAGTACATAAATCGAGGTCGCCTTTTGAACGTATTGTGAAAGGACCATGTAAGAGCCGGTCACACTGCAACCCACTCGCTGACCCCCCCCCCCCCCTCCCCATATGGGGACGTGAGTCCACTGCACGAACATTGGTCCCGGGGTCGCCAGATAATGAGATCAAGAGAATGCACCAGAACATGCACAAACCTCACGACACCACAACTGACAGCGAACGGCTTGGCGGGCGCACGTACCTGGAACAGCAGTTGATCCACATTGTAAAGGATGTGCCGGGCGCAGTGGCGCGTGCAGGGGAGCGCCGTCCGTGGACAGGCGCCCTTTGTACCAGTTTGGTGGCAGCAGGGCCGCCGGACCAGCTGCGCCTGTCGACTCCTGCAACAGCACCACTCACACTGGTCAGTGAACTCAGCGCCGCCCGCGCCCCCCCCCCCCCCCCCCTGACACCAGCTGACAGTGGGCGCCAACACACGACATCATGCCACTGTGGCCACGATACTGCAGTGGCAGCAAACAGCGGTATGGTCGAGTCGGGGCTTCAAACAACTGAGAATAAGTATTTGGGATACGTTCAGACAAACTAGGTGGACGTCAAAAGCTGATTCCTCGCAGTGAAAAAGAACGCCATTTATGAAGTCTGGCATTCCCACGCATGAGACCATGTCGGAGCCATCTCTAATAGCACTCATCGCCCAACACTGGGCAGCACCAGCGGCAGGTGGGCGCGGTGACGCGTCTGCCGGGCGACCGTACCAGTTGTGGCCGGGCTGCGTGCGGCCGGCCGCCTCACGCGGCGGCAGCAGCTGCGCCGTGCGGCTGGGGAAGGCGGCGGCCGCAGACACCAGCAGCCGCGCCTGTGGTGCCCGCTCGGCCAGCTGGCGGCGCCGCTGGCCGGCCTCCTCCAGGGCGGTGAGCAGGCGTCGCGCCTCCAGCCGCTGGCGCGCCAAAAGGCGGCGGCGCCGCTCCGAGTCGGCGATGGCGGCGGCCGGCGGCCGCAACAGGCGGCGACAGAGACGCGCCGCCGCCTCGCCGGCGCGCCGCCGCAGCTCCAGCAGCAGTAGCCGGCAGCAGCGTGAGAAGCGGCGCGTCTCGCGGTAGCGGCGCACGGCCAGCGGCGCGGCGTCCGTCTCCTCGCCGTCCGTTTCCGTCTCGAGGTCGGAGCAGCCGGGCGGCGGCGGCAGCAGCGGCCGGCGCGCCGCGCGCTCCCGTAGCGCCGACTCGTGATAGACACGCAGCTCGGCCGGCAGGCTGGGCCGCCAGCCGCCGGCGTCGGCCGGCCGGACGCGCGGCCGCGCGCCCCTAGTCTCCTGCTGTCCGGTCCTGGCGCCGTGTCGCCTCTCCAGCGCCCTGACGCCGGCCACAGACCGCGGCTTTGCCCGCGGCGCACCCGCGTCCACTTTGGCCTTTGCTGCCGCCTTGGCTGCTTTGTGCTTGGCTTTGACCTTCTCCACCTTGAAGCTGACAGGAAGCTCAGAGGCGGCCGCCGTCTGGGGCACGGGTTTGGGCAGGATCTTCTGGTGGCTGGCCGCGTTAAAGGGGAAGCTGGCGGTGGGCGACGACGGCGCCGGCGCACGCACGCCTTCCGACCCCACCTTGAAGGTGAACCCGTCGCCGCCGGCGCCGAGTGCGTGCCCCGGCGGCCGGTCGGGCGGGCGCGGCTGCTTCAGCTGGCCGTTGGTGTGGCGGCCGAGCGGCGGAGGCCGCGGCCCGGCGGCGGCCACGGCGGCACCGGCCGGAGGGATGGGTCGCCGGCTGTCCGGTGCTGGCGGCCGCTGGTCGCCGCCGCCGCCGCCGCCGCCACCCAGCACCGCCTGGCGCGCCGCCTGCTGCTGCTGTTGCTGCTGCAGCGCCTGCAGCCGGTCCAGCTCATTGCTCTTCTGGAGCAGCTGCTGGAGCCGCGAGCTGAGTTGCACCTTGCCCACCACAGGGATGCAGAGCGGCGCGCCCGGCCTCACCGGCTCAGTCTTGCCAGGTGTTGAATGGCTGACCATTCCATTTGCTTGCATCACCTGTGACAGTGAAGAAGGAGTAATTTTGGGGGCTTTCGGCCCCTCGACTGCGCGGTTGTACAGCGCCCATAACTTACTGCAACAGTGAAGACAAGTGAGTGTCATGCCACCTTATCAATATCTGAAACTTATACAAGTGCAGCATAAAATGGTAAAGCGCAGCAGCCTTTACCAGTACAGCTGGAATGCACGTTGTCGCATACCGACTCTATGATTTTGAGAACTGGTTGCATGCATGCATGTACATCACCTTAAAGCGCTTTCCAACATAACATGGCTATTCCACGTGTCGAATCGACAACGTTACGAGGAGATGCATGTAAAAAGGACACTTGTAGCAACAACCACACCAGAAGACATCTAAAGCACACATAAAACACACCTCAGGTACACATAAGCACGCACGCACCCAGTCATCAAATTCCAGCTAAATAACTTCACAGGTCCCCCTTAAAAGATGCCAGTGACACCAGTGATGTGGAGTTGCGGAGGTAAAGCGCCGTAACGACAGTGTACAGGAGGCGCTGCCTATCCGCCTACAATCTCACGTGCGACAGGCCATGTCAGTGTCCTGACAAGTAGAACGTGAACGAATCAACCCAACGAAAACACACTATTTTGAGAAGGACGCTAATGGACGCTAACGTTAGTAGAGCTGACTGGCAGAGGGCCAGCCAAGTTGCTCACGCAAGTCCAGGATATGATTAAACTCGTAACGGCCGGAGGCCACGAGCAGCACAAAGCTCAGGATAATCAGGAGGTGCTGTCTTTCAGACTTTTTCCATATATGACAAGGCAACAGCGAACGTGCGAGAGGACCAAGGCACTGATCAGGGTAGGCATAAGGCCAGGTGGGATCTCATGATGCGTGTGGGGTAGCTCAATGAGGAAACTGTCACACTTTTTAACTAGGGCAGATCTGTGAGAGCCTTAGGTGAGGTGTTTGTTGAGCACTACGCCGAGGTTCCTCCCTGTGGGGCCCTCACGCACTGCGTCCTCGCGGGCCCGAACAGTCATGGAGGCCATGTCTCGATAGTTTAACGGGAATCACAAACTATAAGTTCTGTTTTGCCAGTACTTCCTTCCAGACTGTGGGAGTGGAACCACACGTCCAAAGGCTAGTGTCTGTTCAACTGTGACCATGAGCTGAAGGAGGGAGTCTCTTTTCTAGGCATCAAAACTTGGGTATAAGCAGCATAATCGACGACGTGCGCGTCGGCGCGAACAGGAACATGTCGTTGACAAATATCAGGAAGATGATTGAGCCTAGAGAGGATCCTAAGAGTACACTGACAGGATTGGGCAGGGCTTGAAGTGTCCGTTACCACGCACTGCTCAGAGTACACTGACATGATTGGGCAGGGCTTGAGGAGGTGTCGGTTACTACGCAATGCTCAAAGTACAGACAGGATTGGGCAGGGCTTGGGGTGTCAGTTACTACACACTGCTGGCATACTGTGGTGTCAGTTGCCACACACTGCTCCGCCAGAACACTGACAAGACTGGGCAGGGCTTGAGGAGGTGTCAGTTACCACGCACTGCTCAGAGTACATTAACAGGATCGGGCAGGGCTTGAGAAGGTGTCGGCTACCACACACTGCTCAGAGTACACTGACAGGATTGGGCAGGGCTGGATGGGGTGTCAGTTGCCACAGACAGACAGAACACTGACAGGATTGGGCGGGGCTTGATGACGCGTCTGTTACCACGCACTGCCACGTCAGTGGTATAAACAGACTGGGTATGACCATGGAGGTAAGAACAGAACCAGGGCATGTCAATGGTACAGACAGACTGGGTATGACCACAAAGGTAAGAACAGAACCAGCCCACAATAGGCTTGAACTTTGATGTGGTCAAGGAGCTTCATGTGGTCAATTGCATCAAAACATTTGGCAAGATCCAGAAGGCAGAGAAAGAACAGGTTCCTGGTGGTCAGTGATGGCAAGTATATTGTCAGATATGGCAAGAATCACAGCTTCTGTGGAGAGAGGAGTGTAAATCCTCCTAGGATGACGAAAATACCAGTAAGGGATGACGTGTGGTTACAGCCAGACCCACATGACATCAGCAAAAAAATGTCCGTAAAAGAACAATATTAAGCCTATCAATGGCTGGCCATGGCTGTCAACAAAAGCTCGCAGGGAATCATTTAATGTGATGCCACCTCAGGGTATTTTACCAAGCCACACATATTTCAGATGATTTCTGATTGAATTTCCTGATATGGCTAGTGCTGCTGACCTTGGGTCAGGTATCAATGCCAGTCCAAGGTCGAAGTCATACTGCTCTTGAACCAAAAATCTAGCTTTAAGGGGTAGTGTTTGACACCCCTTTTGAATCTTTTTAAAATAAATGTTAACAAGGAGCTTATTTGGACATCATGAAGGTCAAAGGCCACTTACCCAAAATGACCCAACCAATCTTTTGCTTTTTGTAACATACCACTTGCATCCTACTACCATACACTTACCCATTTTCAACTATCAGACCATCTCAAAAGATTTGCCTTGACCTTCCTGAGACCAAATGAGATTGGTAACCTCAGGTGAAAACAGGTAACCTCTTGCTTAGAAGAGGTATCTAGGTCAAAGGAGGTGGTTGAATGAGGAGGCCTAAGCACACTTAGGACACCAATCCGGAGATTGACCATGTATGATGTTAAAGGTTTATGCTCTACAACTCTTCAAATTTTACCTGAACAAAGTCATGCACCAGCCTACCCATGCTGTGAGTTCAGTGTATGAGCTCTCTTGCTTGTGGGCTCCCTCAGTTTTTTAGGCCCCAGGGTCAAACAGACCACAACCCGAATCTGCCACATTGAGCCAACCATGGCACATGTTACCTATTAAAAACCTATAACAATGTGCATAAATGAAATGCAGTTAACATAGTGTACAGAAATAAAAACATTTCAAATCAATAAAAATGGTGACTTGTGATAGGAAGATACTGCAATAGTATTCCCCATGTTCCTGGTCTACTAAAGGAAGGAATACAGCCCTGAGACCACTCTGGGTGCACCATGATCCTCACTCAGTAGGAAATCCATATCTTGATTAGAATGCTGGATATTCAGAGGTTGATGTTATGGTGGCTTCTTGCATGCAAATATTGCACTTTCATGAAATGCTTTAATCTGCATTGCATATTATACATCCATTACTTACTTGGATTTGTATTACCATATACAAGCACAACCTATACTTTAAATTTTTAAACTACCTGATAAACCCTGCATTTTACCAGGACTACAGTTAGGAGCTGAGGACCTTTCTTTTGGTTGGTTCAATGTTATGGGCTGAGGTTAGGACCCCTTTTTATTTTTCTTAGTGTGAAGCTTATGATAGTCATAAGTGCAAAAGAATATGACATGCCTGCATATGTATTCTGTCCAGACCCAACATGGCAAATATAGGAAGAGAGGGAGAAACTGCACATAATGGTCATGACAATGCCTTCACATTTACTTTGCCTCACTGCTGACCAATGCTGTGGCATAGTAATATGCCCCAAAATGCAGAGCCACATCTGCAATGAAGCCTCTATTAATAAGCTTCTTGACACACCAAGCTGTGCTAATGCAATATTATATCTTCAAGGCCTATGCACAAATTTTAATACCAAGGTAAGGGATTAGTAGTCACAACTGACTGCCAACTTAACACACCTTGGTCCAAAAAATGCTACTTTTATTTGTGAGCCTACATTCTCACTCATGATCTCAAATCAGCTCAATTCTGAGAAAGCCTTTACTATGCAATGTGGACGCTGTC